TAACTATCACAAAGACCCAGTCAAATTTGACAACATTAGAACAAACAATAATGTAATTACTGACCCTCAAGACATTAAATAGCATATCTAACAACACTTTAACCAATGAACATCTTTTAGACATACTAATTAATAAATCTTTGAATCTAACTAGAAAGAAGAATATAATTGCAAAATGCACATTAACTCTAAATAGTATAATGATATTACTAAAGTATTTACTATCTTTAAAGTAACTGAAACATTATTTCATCTTCCAAACAACAAAACCTGTGGCCTTTCTGGCATTAGTTATAAAATGTTAAAACATGCAAACATACTTTTCTTTCAAGCAATTACAGCTTTCTAAATAGATGTATTATCTTAAACCAAATCCTCAAACAATAGAAAGAGGGTAGAATTTTTCCAATTTCTAAAAAGCCTATTTTTAACTGCAACTTAATCAATACCAGACCTATTAGCTTTTTGAACATGCCAAAAAACTATATACAAAACTTCTCACAAATCACTTAAACCAAGTATTTACTAAATATAAGATTCTTTTACTCTATAATTATATTGTTCTGCTAGGCAATAGTACAGCTATATCTATATATATCTTAAATAATATAATCAAAAATGCATCTTGCACTCTAAACAGCTTTGGCTTATATCCTAAGATATGAGCAAAGCATATGACTTAGTTAATCTAAACCTGTTCAAAAAGCACTAACTTATATTAATATACCTTTTAAGCTAGTTAATATATTTACTAATCTATTAACAGACTGCTAAAATAGAGTAATTACCAATCTTTGCCTAACCAACTCATATACAGTTAAAAATAGAATAGACCAAGGAGAAACAATACCCTCATTATTTTGGTGCATTTATTATGACCCACTTATTTATAAAATTGCATCCTAATATAAAGATTACTTACTATCTACAACTTGAAAAACTCACCTTCAACTACCTAGATCCCAAAGCCTTTAAGCATCTATATCATATTAGCTTACATGAATGTACACTCTGGATAGCAAAAACAAAACAAGAACTTGAACAAATTACCCAAACTGCTTCATCTTTCTATCTAATAACTAATATTCAAATTAATGTTACCAAATCTGTCTTTATTTTTAACTTACCTATATTTAATATTTAATTTTTTAACTCTATTTTAGAATTTATACCTGCTAGCCAACTATTTAAGTTTTTAAATTGTTGGTTTACACTTAATAACAAACATACTGAACAAATTGAAATTATCTAAAAAGTAATTCTTCAACTTACAAACATTACTAGTACAAAGAAAATTACAGATAAACAAATTATCTACATAATCAATACAGTTATTATACCAATACTTAATATAAATTACACAACATTATTATGCCTCATTCCATATGCAACAATATTCTTACCAAATACTTAATAATAGCCAAATGCAAATTCCACCTAGCATACTCGATTTTCAATAATACTATGCTTAACCTATACTTGTATAATGTTTATAACATATGGAACATTCAACTTCAACATCATATTACTAACTTCTTATTATGACTTAACAATTCTAACTTACTCGAAACTTCAATAGGATAAAACTACAACAGCTCCAAAACTACTTATAGTTAACTATTAATATACTTCAACACCCCAATCCCATTATTGATAGTTCAAATAAACACACATTAAATTTCAAAATTATTCAATTACTGAAACATCTAAACATATTCATAATAGCTAATTCCAATATCTCATGGCCAAACACTATATCATACAATCTCCAATTACTAGAATCAATTTTATCTCAACACTTTTAATATATTAGCTTCAAAAAACAAATTAGAAATCTCAATATACTATATTTTAAACAGCTTTGTACAGCTGATAATATCATTTTATTAAAATAGAAACATCTTTCATCATGACTGTTATACTTATTTAAAGACTGAAAACCATTATGATTTACTTTTTTAAAAAACATTGTAATGGTCCATAATAGTTTTAGAATTCTTCTTCCACACTATCAACAACCAGAATATAATTCATTTCATATAGCTCACTACATATTTTTAAAAAATCTATTCCTGGTTACTTATATACATTGATAATAAGATTATTATTGACAAAATTTATAGACATTTCAAAAACACTAATCAAATATTTATCACATACTGGCAAACAAATATTATAATAAATCACTCTGGCTACTATTCCCTTTTACTAACCCAAAGTTTATCTTACTTAGACTGTCATTTAAACTCTAACAAAATTCAGAATTTATATACAATTAATGTATTAGCAACTATCTCTTCTTAATTTTTAGGAAGAGTCAATTCTAACTCATTAAACTTTAATGCCAACTATATTGACCTTATTCATTCAACAGTCATTAAACATCCACTATCAATTTTCTCAGTACCAACAATTCCAATTTCCAACTCTTATATTTTCAAAATATTCAAAACTAGTGAAGCAGCAAACATACTCAAACAATATTCAATTCCAAATAGCTCACAACAACAACTTAACTTTTACACTGATGGCTTAGTAATTAATATTAGAACTGACCAATGTTCAATGGGCATTGGCTGGGTTCAGGTCAAAAACAATGACCAAATTATTTACAAATTTTCTGCCAAAATTAACTTCTGGTCATCATCCTATAAAGCAGAACTGATAACTATTTTCTTAGCTATTTTTACTACATTCTGAAATGCAATAGTTAACATTTTTACAAATTTCTAATTTATCATTACTAAATATACCAACATCTATACTACACTATCCAATTCTAACAAACCTTTTAAATTCAATACATGGTCTATATAATATACTTTATTGAATATCATTAAATCTTACAATTTTCAAATCAACTTTCATAAAGTTTAAGCTCATACTGACAATAATCTGAACAATCTTGTCTACTTCCTTGCTAAACAACATAATCTCTTTTCTAATTTATACTTCAATTATACTAATATTTATAACCTATACTATATGCTATTCTGAGACCAACATTTTATAGAATACTCTACAAGAACATTTATCAAAAATATCTGCAAAGCCTACATTCTAGCAATGTGGTCATTTCAAAAGCAAAACCAAGAATAGAACCAACTTATTTCTGAAATAGATTGAAGATCCACTTGGCTATACTTTAACTATAACCAAAAACCAACACTTAATATAACCAACTTCAAACTTAATCATTTCAAATTCTTTAAAATCAAAATTTTATTAAATAAATTATATACATACTTTCTATGTCATAAAATAAATTTACATGCTTTTTATAATATAAACTGCTTCTATTGCAACTTACCTGACTTCTTAACACATTGGTGAATATGTTCTAATTTAATACTACTCACTAGTATTATTTAAGATACTACTTCAAGCATATTAACCAAAGCAACCTGGATCTCTCTAAACTTTAGTAAGAAGAACTTATTCAAAAAATTCAAAATCATGAAACTTTTTACCAGATACTATTTACTGATAACTTATTTTATCTTGATATCATTCTTAAAGAACTTATATCCAAATCTCTAATTCAAGCAATTCAAAATCTTAACATCTCTTACAAATTAGCATTACAAACAGTTATTAAAATACTACTTGAAATCAATAAGCTATGTTATGAACTATTCTGAAAACCATATTGCATAAATTTTGCAAATTAGAAAAAACAACAAGGTCTTAAACCTTCTTTTTCTAAATGCTTAACTCAAAATAATCATAATAGACAAACTAAATACAACTACTAAACATATACATATTTATGTATATGTGAACTATATAACCAAGTAAACTCAAACTCCAACATATGCCTACTCCTCAGTCATGTTATTAAAAAAATCAATATATGGACTATTTTCTGAATCAAATACAATATTTTGTTTAATCATATTTTAACTATTCAAATCTAGGTGAGTCTTGACTACTCTAGTAGGTTTAGGTTACAGATAAATATGTCTAAGCTTTATTCTTGAATGTTATTTTTTTCTTTTTGTACTTAAGTTAGTTATATATAGTTAGCAGTTTAATGGTTAGCTCTAACTGCAAGTGTTGGCCTCAGCTATAGCAATTATATAGTGCGATGGGTAAATGGCAAGTCTGTCAGCTCTACTAACTAGACGTCACATAGTGGTGTGAAATCGATAGGACAAGGCTTCGAGGTATGGATAAAGATTTGGCAAGTATCAGTTTTATTAGGATGACTTTGAACCTTTTTCTTCTCACTTGGGGCATCCAAGATTAGTAACTTTATTAAAATTATGCTTTGATTTTTATATCATTTTACATTTACTAACAAATTCTATTAAATTTTAGCTTCCCTCCCTATTTTTCTACCACTCCGCCACTATAGAATCATGCTGCTGCAGGTTTCACCTAAACCGGGTAAGTATTGGATTCTGTTAGTTTTACTTTTAGTTTATTTTATTATAACTATACTAACCTGCCACTCTGAAACACCATATTTACGACCTCATGCCATTCCCGATTTGGATATATTCGTTTAGATCAATTGTTTTGGCGTTGGAGGCATGCTTATGCTCGTTTTACCATTTGTGGAGTTGATCGTGCATAATTGATCCTGGGTTCCGATCGGCACATGTACAACATATTGTGAAACATGAGTTGTCACGAATTTTTCGCCTGTAACATTTCCCTGGCACTTATCTTATGCATACCACGCATTAGAATTCTGGCAGTTGTTTTATTACTTGATGGTCCTCATGATTGTGACTCTTCTGGTGTATATAAAGGTAAATTGGTCATAGTTTCTTGAGTCTTCTTGCTGCTAGGGTTGGAGTTTCTTGATCGCTGGTGGCTTCTTATCTATTTCATTGTCAAAGTTGGTTTCTCTTTAATGCCGAAGGTCTTGGCGTAGTGGATAGTGTGTATTTATTATTGGTTTTCTTAAGTTTTTTTTTTTTTTTTTATTTTTATTTTTATTTTTATTTTTTTTATTATATTTTATTTTATTTTATTTCAATATTAATAAGCGATTAGTTTAATTTAGGCATAATATCTGCCATTCTCTACTAGGATTGAATATTCGATTACATATTTCATGTTCAGATAAGCATCAGATGATACCTCTGGTTTTGTTGATGAATTCTTTTCTGATCTCTAACAATCATTTCTTCTTTCTTTTAGGGCTACTATTCAAAATCAGGACTGTTACTTCAGAGGTTAGCGAAGGTACCTGGCTTAATCCAAGGTAACACATAGTAATTTTGGCAATTTCACCTTTTTCGTCATCTTCTGGTCCTTGATCACATGGTTTTAGTTAAGTTTCACTATACTGTGCTGTTTTCTTTATTTTGTTCATCCAAGCTTTAAACTCATTTACTTTTTTATTCCATTTATTACAGGCTTTCCAAAGGTTTTCAAAGTCAACTGACTTGCTTCCTAATTCAATGGCTTTATTAGATGTTCCATTGGCGTTACCCATGTCAGAAGGTCTTTGATAATAAATGAAGGCTTTCTGTTCATCTTTTTTAACACCCATTTCATATCAATGGCAATGTCCAATGGTATTTGTGACAACAGAAAAGACAAACTCACATGGTTGCAGAGGGCTATTACAGAGTTCATATTCATCCTTTTTGGCTGCATTTCTAGGAGGCTCTTTATTGGACTCAAGAGGATCACCAGTTTCCTTTTCACAATAGGGTCTAGCACCATTTTGTCCATTCGAACTGCCGTTTTTATTGGCCTTTTCAACTTCAGTTCCATTCTTGTGATAATGACTAGCATTAGATGTTCCCTCAATATTAGCATCTTTTTGAAAACCCTTGATCGCTTTACATTCATCCTTTTCAACTCTATTTTTTTCATCTTTTTCGACAGCAGTCTCTGTCTCTGCAGATTTTTGACAACGAATGTATTTATCTTTTTCGATATCAAGTTTTTCATTACATGAATCATTAATGTTCTTTGAATCAACATATTTTTGATAATAAATATATGCTTTATATTCATCCATTTTGATACCAGAACCATTTAGATAACAATAATAAAGAGCAATTATTCTATTAATACTACCCATATAAGCAGAATTTTGAAAATGAATGAATGATCCATTTATGTTTTTTTTAACACCGATACCTTTTTCATAACAACATCCAACATTGTATGATCCAATAGCATTCTTCGTTTAAGCTGACTTTTGATAATAAATGAATGCTTTATGATTATTTTTTTCATCGCCAATTCCATCTTGATGACAATGACCAACAATATACATTCCATTAGTGTTTCCCATTTCAGTGGATCTTTAATAATAAATAAATGCTTTACTTATATCCTTTTCAACATGCATTCCATGATGATAACCATAACCAATATCAGCAAGGTTCATCATTGCTAGTTTTTGATAATAGGTAGACGTTTTACATTTGCTCTTCTCATCACTGATTCCATTTTGGTGATGATAACTAAGTTACAGGTTCCATCAGCACATTCCATGTCAGCTGATTTTTGATGATAAGTGAACACCTTATTTTCATTCTTTTCATTACTCATTCTATTTTGGTGAAAATATCCACCACATGTTTTTACTTTCATTTCTATCATCCAGGTTTTCAAGGTTTTTAGATAACTATCGATCAGATGTTCTAAGGTGATTTCAGAGTCAGTACCATCAATTTTGGTTGCTTCTTTCATAAGTGCAGTTAAATGGATATAGGAAGGTAAATATAAGATTTCTTCTTTTTCTTCATCCATCCACTGCTTGTGCTAACATCTTTTAATATTTCTCAGAAAATTCCCAGGCCTCAGGAATTTGCTTATTATCAAGACTTAGATCTCCAAAAGTTTCGTCAACAATGTCTTAAACCTTTGTGGCTTGTTCGTTAGTAAGTATTGTATATAGCCTTGTACATTCTTTTGTATCTTTTCTACTACAAGACACTTATTAACGAAGTGGGTTTTTCTCTTGCAATAGGAACACAAGATTCTTAAGTGGCTTCTTTGAGTTGATTTATCATTTCGTGAAGTTTGCGAATGCCGGCTTTCTACTTGTCTTAATTTCATCTCTTGGTAAGTTCTATACATTTTTTTTGTTTAAAGTATTTTTATTTTTTTTTTTTTTAATTTTTTTTTTTTTTTATATGTGTTCCAGTGATTATTTATAATTGCTATTACTATGATGATATTTATGCATTCACTTTAAACTTCTATTACTGTGAGTTTAATTTTTCTGATTTTAAAAAAAATTTTTTTTATTTTTAACTTTTAGGCTCCAAGTTTAATTGTCGATCCCTACAACTATATAACTGAAGTTTTCCTTTTACAATATTAAGGTTACTTTTACTTTTTGATTTTTCCGGTATTGTACTTTTATTGCCTACTAGGTATATGTGCACAACTAGATCAGTATATCAACTTTCTTATGGCGTCTAATACTGGGCAAATCCAGCAGAAAAGTATCTACTTTTTGGTTTCTTTGTTGTTTTGTTATTTTATTGATATTAACGGTTTTCTTTTTTTTTTTTTTTTTTTTTTTATATTAACAATATTTATGACTCTTCTTTTCTTTTTTATGAATCAAATTTTCTTATGCCACTATTCATGATATGTAAGCAAAATCCAAACTCTATACGACTATAACCTTGGTGGGCCCACGATCCTCGATAGCTGGAGCATTACAATAGTTTCGGCTTGTTTTCTTGGTAAGTATATAAATTTGTTTATTTGTTTTCTACTGACATTTCTGTAATTTGATTTTTCACTTTTTTTTTTTTTTTTTGGTTTCTGGTACATCTATCATGGGCTATATTCGCTTCTTGCCAGTATGTTTGTTTGGCGGGTATTGTACGATAACAAATCGGCCTTTGGGATGTTGGTTGTCTTGTGTCAAGCATCAGCTAGGACATCACAAGACTTTCACACTTCTACTAGGTAAGTAATTTTCTAAACTTTTTATTTTGTCTTTTCGTTTTCTTCCAATACTAACTTCTTCGACTTTCTCTTAATTTGTCAGAACACCAGAACCTGGGCTGGATTCTGTTTTTTGGATTTCAAGAAAAAGTATTACTTATTTTTTTTTTTATTTTATTTTTTACTCTTTATCAATTTTTAATGAAAAATTTTTTTTTTGTTCTAATTTCGGGTAAGTACATCTACCATGGTTATGCTTCTTCTTTCTAATACGTTAGCTGTCTTCTCTTCAGGTAAGTATTTTCTTTCTTTTTCTTTCTTGTCCTCTTATCTGGATTAACCTTTCTTCATGTTCTTTAGACATGGTACATCAGTCTAGATGATGCAAACCAAGAAATATGCAGTTCTTCGGACTCAGTACGTTGGCCCAAGTGACTCAACCTCTTCACGGTATATACGTTTCCTAATTTCTTTCTTTTTTCTTTGTTTTTCTTGACTTATTTTCTAATTTAGCTTTTTTTTGTTTCTCAAATCAGGGGAGGGGGGGAAGGTGAGTACAGATGAATCTTACAGTCACCACTAAAATTGCGATGAGTAAATGGTAAGTTTGTCATCTCTACTAACTAGATGTCACATAATGGTGCGAAATCGGCAGGACAAAGCTTCGAGGTATGGATAAAGATTTGGCGAGTATCAGTTTTATTAGGATGACTTCAAACCTTTTTTTCCTCACTTGGGATGTCCAAGATTAGTAATTTTATTAAAATTATGCTTTGATTTTTATACCATTTTACATTTACTAACAAATTCTATTAAATTTTAGCTTTCCTCCCTATTTTCCTACTACTCTGCCACTATAGAATTGTGCCACTGCAGGTTTCACCTAAACCGGGTAAGTATTGAATTCTGTTGGTTTTACTTTTAGTTTATTTTATTATAACTATACTAACTCGCCACTCTGAAACACTATATTTACGACCTCATGCCATCCCTGATTTGGATACATTTGCTTGGATCGATTGTTTTGGCATTGGGGACATGCTTATGCACGTTTCACCATTTGTAGAGTCAATCATGCATAATCGATCCTGGGTCCCGATCAGCACTTGTACAATGTATTGTGATGCATAAGTCATCATGAATTTTTTGCCTATAACAATAAAATTATTTTTGTATATAGTATCTCTATAAAGTTACTGACTTTAAAAACTATCAATAAAGATATGAGCAAGGCCTCATCTTAATACCAAAATATATATATATATATAAACAAAAAGTATAATTATTAAAACATAAAGTTTAATTGTTAAAACAAAATTTAAAGATTATATAATTATAGGAAATAGCTTTTATTAGACCTTTAGGTTTATTAACATTCCAATATGTTTTGTTAACAACCCAAATTGTATATAAATAAAACTTATTTTCTAATAAATGAATATATAATTCTTATTTTTTTATTCTTATTTAAAATTTTTTAGCTAACTTATATATTTTCTTTCTATATACTTTTACTTTTTATAATTTTTTTACTTATATATTCTTTTGCATATTTTTACTTGTTTGCAATTCTTATTACATAATAATAAAGCACTAAAAGAAATTTTTTATTAAATAACTAACAAAAAGCAAATAATTTCAAACACTCAATAACCTGCTCTCTTAAAGCTTGTATTACAATAGCTTTAATAGTAAACTTGTTGATTTATATACTAGAAAAGTTCATATGACAAAAAAGAAAATTACTAGCATAATAACAGATTATTATAACATTGTAAATATTTAATAAAGCAATTGTTATTTTTGCAATAGTATATCTCAAAATGAATTTATTAGAAGAACTTTCAGAAATAAATATTTATAAAGAACTAATACATATTAATAAATCAGACAATAACTCTGTTGTTTCTTCATATTGAAATAATTTTAGTTGCATTACTAAAAGTAAATCTAAAAAAAGAAAGAAACTAGCTGAAAATAAAGTAAAAAAGAGTATATAAAATCTTATTTTTATATAGAATTTATTTTTTAATGAAGAAAAAATGTTACTAAAGATTTATTAGATAATAAAGATAAAAAATTAACAAATTAAAAAATTAATTTTAATGTACTAAAGACTTTATTAGTAAAATTAAAGAATATATTAATATTTTAAATATTCTTAAAGGTTTACTGTTCATTATTTGTAGATTTTAATTTCAAGAGAGATAGGTTATCTGATATAGCTACTAAATTTTTATTAAAATTTATCTAGCACCTCTAATTTTTTATAATAAAAAAACTACTTCTCTTTTTCTTTATTATTGTATATGATATATAAAAATCTTGGTTTTGGTACTCACATGATCAAATATGCAACTTGTAAGCAATGTTGCAAATTGTACAATGTTGATAATATGTCAACTAACAAACCAAATATGATATCTAAAATAAGCTACTACATTTTTTAAGATTTATTAAATCATTCAATCATCAATTTTAGATGTTTTTGCAAATATTCAATTGCTAAAAAAAGAGTCTGTTACAAAAGATGTTATATATAGACCAATGTTAATCTTTTCTACAATCTTTTTAAAACATTAATTTCAATTGTTATATAACTAAAAGAAATTCAAAGTGTTTTGTAGAAAATAAATAGAAAGACTTAATGATCCTAAATGTTTTACTAACATATATAATAGTAGAATTTGGAAAACTTTTTCAAAATTTAAATAAAGTTTTGTTATTTTTCTAAAATAAATTATCAGATTGCAATTTGAGTTTGATAATTAACTTAAATTAGTTTTAGCTATTTAATAGTTTAATATATAATATTAGAGCAATCTACAATATTATTTGTAATCATTCACATAATAAATAATTTAAGCTGTTAAATATATTAATATTAGCATTAATATCTGGATCTAATAAACCAAAGCTGCACTAACTAAACTATTACCTAGCACTATTAATAGATTAATTAGTCAATTTGTAATATAATAAGCAAAAAAATTAACATCAAGTCTTTATTACAATTATTTTAATTAATATAAATTTAGAAATTGAATTGACAAGCACTTTGGAATATTCTATAAACAGATTTATTAAAACCATGGTAATATGTTGTTCTTGTGACATTTTTGTTGCAAAAAAGCTATATCATGTTGACATTAAGAGTTTTATACATTTTTGATTATAACTTTTGATGTACTAAACCAATTTGAATAAAACAATTACTATTAGATTCAGCTTACTAAAACAGTTCTAATAAGCATAAGATTATGTGATTTGATCACAAAATTATAAGATTGAAATAATTTTAATAAAAGTCTAATTCTAGTATATGTGATTCAATTCTAATTAGCTTTCATTACTATGCTAAAAATATTACAAATTTTATATTTTTTACAAAATTTACTGATCTTACAAATATTACAGATATTATATTTTTATTAGATCTATTATTTTTAATATTTCTATAATATTTATTATATCTTTTATTTATTTTTTTAATTTTTTTTAAGATAAGGAATTGCTCATATCTTTTTTATTTATTAAAGAAGCCTTCAGAGGCTTCTTTGGATATAAATTACAAACTTATTCCAATTATAAATATATTACAAGAATGAAGCTCAGACTATAGACAAATTTTTATTTAATTTATCTGCAAACTAAACCTACTAGAGTGATTAAAACTTATCTAGATTTGAAAGCATAAGATATTGTTTAAGAATAACTATATAGTATCTAGTGTATAGACCAAAAGTCAATTTTGCAAAATGCATTTTCTAGTAGTAAGCAGTTATTATCTTCTATATAGAGTTGATTAGATAGACTATACAGTTGGCAAACTATATAGTATAGATTATGATATTGATTAAAATAATTATAGAATTTTTTATAAATTGTAAATCTGTTATTTGATATAATACAATTGTCTTTTTTCTATTATACTAATTTAGTAGTATATAGTTTTCAGATATGATCATATATTTTTTATAATATTTTGATAAGCAATTTAGTAATTATTAAGGTTATTGTTTGATTAAATATAGTATAAGGTCTAATTGTTGTAATTAGGTCTGTTGGCATATATTCTTGTAATGTTGTATATATGCTGCTTTGTTTTTGTTAAGTATTATTAACTGATAGACTATTATATTAAATTAGTAAATGATATAATTGTTGTAATTGTAATTGTGTAATGTCTAATAATAAATTATTATTAATGATTTCAGAAATTGTTTCTGTAATAATACTAATAAAATTGTTAGATTAGAATAAAGTAACCAATATAATAGGTATTCTGATATTCAGCAGATAATGCAATTGTTGTGTAAAAGCTGTCTAAGTATAGTTTATAAAGATAACATAATATTAATAAGATATTAAGTAGTGTTTTGATCTTTGATTAAATAAGAAGTTAGTGTAGTTACTTGTTTGTTTAGAATTGTTGTTAAGATATAACCAAGTTGTATTTTAGTTAATTTGTGATAATATTAGAATAATGTTGCTTATATAATAACTATATAGTAATTATATATATACTATAGATGTTTTTGATAGCTTGTCTAATAGGTTGTTTAATTATGTATTTTTGATATTTTAGAGTATTTGAGATGTTATATAGATTGTTGTATATTAGGTTATGCTATGCAGTAAAGTTGTAGTTTGTTGCTAGCTTATTAGCTTTATTGTTAAATATACTGTTACTATGTGCAAGTACTTTGTAAAAAGTAATTGTATATTGATAGAATTAAATTAACTTGAGTAGTAGATACCAAATAGGCCAATATAAGTAAGGTATTGTTTATATACTAGAATTAGATAACTAGCAATTTTGCTAAACTTTGCAATAATTGATAAAAATTTGTATAAATTTATATATTGCTATTATATAGTTATATGCAAATAGCAAATAATATTGTTTTGTAACATGATGACCAAAGTTTAATGCAAAAAGAGTATAATTGAAGTATTATATTATTGTAGCATTTATTAGTAGTAAGATTAGTAACTGATCCATCTGTATAGAATATAAAGTTTGTATACCTTTTATTAAGGTTAGCAATTTTCTGAAGTTTAATAGAAGAAGAATTGACTTAAATAGATTAAATAAAAGTATATTGATAAATGTAATAGTAAATAATAGTAGAATTGTTAGAAGTACTATAAAGCAATAAAATAAATAATATCTAGATAGTTTTCATACAAGTTAAGTTTATTTGTATTGTTGTATTTTTTTTATTCTAAAAATTTTATTGCAAAGTTAAATAGAATATTAAAGATACAATAGTTCTAAATTTTTGGTTGAGTTATATATGCATCTTGTGCATTATATATAATTGATAATTAGAAGTAAATAAAGGCTA